TATATCTATATATATATATATATATATATATATATATATATATGTATATAGACGAGGGGATGACGCGTCGCACACTTTCTTCTGCACATACATGCGTTTTCGGTCTGCTTGTGTAGTTTTTCTTCTTTCTCTCCAATAGCAGAAACTCACGCACGCACATCCAGGTGTAAATATTGGTACTTATATGTATATACTTGCAGATGCTGTTGATATACGATTATATTGCCGATTTTTTGCATTTGACGACGGCGAACCAGGCACCTCCTGCAGGTTTCAACGTAGCTGGAAGGTAATTGCACCTGTTGATGACATTAAGACACGAGATAACTGCATGTAAAAATTGCAAACACACGCGCGAACGAGCGAGAGAGGAAGGAAGGAGAAACACAAACGAAGTTTCACCGGCGCGTTATCCCGGACACCGTGTTTACCTGGCGACTGCGCAGCGCCGACTGCTGCTCGCCTGTAACCGCGCTCTCCTCCTCCTCCTCGCCTTCCTCATACACTTACCTTTACCTGCCTGTTGCTCCGAAACACAGACACGCACGCACACTACTGTACACCCCCTTGGCTCCGTCTCTTTCTCTCTCTCTTTTGCGAGGCATACCTCCACACTTTATAATATCCTTTCTCTCGCTTTTACCTGTGCGCTACTGCTTCTATCTCTTCTCTCTATACCTAACGCTGCCTATGTATACGGTAAAATAGTCGCCCTGGAGGCTTCTCTCCCCCCCCTCCGCGTGTCCTCTGTCTTTTTCTTCGCCGCATTTTATATACTTATACACGCGGGGCAAAAAAGAGGAGAGGAAGACACGGGGCCCATTCTCTTTCTCTCCGTCCGAATGCCTTCGTGTAAAGTAACATTATATTACACTCGTATGTATACATATAATACGTAAGGTATAAAATACGTACATTTGACTACACCCATAGAGTATGTTATATTATAAAGTATAGGTGTGTACCACCACCACCACCACATACCAGTAGCTTTTCCGCGTTTTCAGCACTGCTCCGAATTTTCGCGACTGTGAACTCGCGCTCGCGTGCCGAGCTGCTAAAACACAATGCGGCGCTGATGTACACGGGTGAGATTAGATAGCTTGAGATGCGCTCTCCAGGTGTGTGCATATGCATATTACACCTCTCCTTCGGGGGGACCCCTGATTCTCCGGGTACCTGTGTGTTAGGTACATGCGGATATGCGCTATACACCACCAGGTATATGCGCTCTCTTTCTCTTGGTTCTATCTACTTACCCAAGTAGCTGGGAAATAAATGAGCGAGGGGGACTTGAACTTTCGCGCTGTACTGCTTGCTGCACGGGTGGGGAGGAAAATAAATCGGCATCCCAGGGGTGTCGAAGGTTTGAATGGTGGGGCCCTTTTTCGAGAAGGCACTCGCGTCAATTTTTTTTTTTTTTTTTTTCCATGTTGCCATCCAATGGAACCGCGAAAAGTCGCAGGTGGAAAGTAATTTTATGCTTTTGTTCAGCGACGCGCGTTATAATACCTGCAATGGACCGCAAGAGCTAAATGTTGGTACATAGGTGCTGCAGGATGTCATCTTTTCGAAGCGAGTCGCAAAATATGTAAGTATATATTATTTATACTCACGCCAAAAAAAAATTACGTAATTATAAACAAGCCCAAGTTTTTCAGCCCAGCAAGTCAGGAATTGCCTAGATGTCGAGGTCGTTGTCGGGGACCGAGATGCACCCGCAAGGTAAAACTAGTGTACTCGAAGTGTACCTTTAAGTGTTGTTCCATTTTGCGCACCAGGAGTCGCAGGATCAAAGAAGGAAAATACTTTGTCTTCCTCCCTCTCTTCCTCCTTTTATGTATCCTTATTTATCTCTTTCTGCTTACAAGTACACTCGTTCATTCTGTCTGTAAATGTACGTACAAAAGTTTCATTCACGTTCCTTTCGGACTGTTTGAGGAAAATAATAAACATCCATTTGTTTATTCAGATTATCTTGTGCTTTTATCAAACTACCGGAATCTACGCGATAACGAAGCCTTTTTTCAAAGTCTATTGACCTCGTCGCTTGTAGAGAACTACACGTAGGTCTAGGATCATGTCAGTTCATATATAGATTCTTATTGATGTGGAATTCCCATACTTTAGATACCATAAATACTTATATGTGGACACCATAGTTGACAGCCCGTACTATCTACACATCAATATACGACCGTCCACAGTTACGGAGTTACGATTTTTCGAAATCGTTTGAGTCTGACGTAAAAAAAAAAACAAAAAAAAAAAAAACAAAAAAAACAAAAAACTGATTCATCATTCGAGGCTATAGATTATGTATGATTTACAATAACGAAAGACACCGATTTATGAGTCATCGTCGCTCGGCTGGTGCTTCTCGAGGAAAAGTTTTCGAATGTACTTTGCTTACGGTCGAATAATTGAACTTCTTAAAGACACGCCACCGATCACGACTTGTTTATCATACAATATTCGTTGTACGCGAGGAAAAACTTGGTAAGCCAATTTTTCTTGCACCTTTCACCGCAACTCGGTCAAGACTTAAAATTTTCGTTTATTTTTTCATTACAACAACAAATGATGGACGCTCAGGTAAAGAACTGCATCCACCGTTGCTAAAAACGTTTCGAGCTTGTTATTGATCAATTGTTTAATTTTTGTGCAACAACATCGGACGCGTTACCCTTTCAATCGAATCATCCTTAGTCATAATTCATCACTGCAGTAAATACACGTGTACGAGGACAATGAAAACATGCATATATCCTTTGGCATTGGCGCACCAAAATAAATTATTTGTTTTACATCATATAGACACGTACGCGCTTCAAGTTGGTCGAACGCCGAGTAATCACATTCCTCAAATCCGATTGCTCTATTACCAGCTTTATAGTATATGATAATATGTTCTTGCATTTAAACTGAAAGTTCATGGGGGATTCGTAACTTCCACACGTTTGCAATCACGTGATCCACACGAAAATCTCACCAATAACCCAAATACCACAGCATTCACAGGTTCCATTCCTCAAGAATGGCTTACAATTTTCTCGGAAACGCGGGACGCAACCCCATTCATATTGTCCGTACACAGCATTGTTTTCTCCCTTTCTCAAAAACTCGATTGGCGGAGTACTTGCAAATCCATTGGATATACACTTATACACATACACTCACCAGGGGGTGTATAGTTTTCCTTCTCGCGCTGCTCGCCGATCTTCCCCGATGCCCGATGTTTCCCATCCATCCCGAACGATTGTGTTACACAAGATGTAAATGTGTGCTCGTGCACCTTCTGACGTATAAATATATATCCATCGCCATGACTCCATACACCTGGTTATTATACTTACTCGGGATTGCGTCCGTGTTCTATTGTTCGAGGGAGAGGGGGGGGGGGACTCGGAGGTGAGGCTACTTTACTCTCAAAAGAAAAAAAAGAGGAAGGGGGCCTTGAGTAAGATTTCATGAAGGAGAAGGATGTGATTTTTTTTTCCTTCCTATGAATTGAAAAGGAGTCAACTTTGACGAAAGTGTTTTTAGGGGGAAGGGGAGGACTAAGGCGTGTAATTACTCGAAAACCTATTAGTATTCAATATTGGATCCAGCATCGACACTTGCCCAAGCTTCGAAGGGATAAAAAAAAATCATTAAAAAAAAAGAATAAATAAACATATCAAACCAAGCTATAAAAAAATACACCAGTATTATCTCACTGGAATCATCAGGCCCCCCCCCCCCCTATTTCTATACACGCGTAACCTTACGTCAAGTTGTTTCCTTGCAACCTTAATAGTATACATGTATTTATTATAAATGCCTCCACAAACGGAGAGTCCAACTCGATTATTTCTTTTTCTTAATACTTCCCTCTCGTGCCTATATCGTACCCTCTCATCGCATGTATACACGCGCAAGGACACGCGTGTCCTGCCAACACGGGAGTAGCCTTCGCGCGACATATACCTCGACCAGCGAGAGGCTCATCGGGGCGTTCACCCCGTTCGGGGTCTAGACGGGCCTATAAATATTTATTTTTCGGCTCTTGATTCTTTTTTTTTTTTTTTTTTTTTTTTTTTGACACATTCGCCTTCCCGTATAAATAGATGCACGCGTGTGTCCCGAGTTTGAGCCATCGTTATAATACATACACATGTCGCGCAGTGCGAATTGATGGAAATGTATATATGGACGTGTGAATGGAATTTCGTCCCTCAAAACGATACTTTCCACGCAGACGGCAGTAAAATACACCGAGACACTCGACGTTTTTCGGAAAAAAGGTTTTTTTTTCTTCTTATTTAGGATACCTTCTCTTTGACGACTCTCGCTTATATGTACGATCCATTAAACTATCGCAATGGAAAAAAAAAAAAAAACGACTCTGACGTCCAGACACACGTGTGAGACCGCTGTATAAATATATACGGTGTGAGTGCGTATTGTAAAAAAAAAAAAAAAATACCTTCCAACCCTGCACACGCGTTACGCAACCTCGGAGAAATAATTTCAAACGAAGCATTATCGCGCTCTATTATTCGCAATTACCGTCGGCGCTGGTGATTAATATATATTTCGATCCCCACCACCTCGAGTATACCATGTACGGCACCATCGCGAAAAAAAAAAAAAAAAAAAAAACAGAGAAGCACTCGAACAAGAGAGAGACAAAAACAAGGAGGCACAAAATTTATTCCTATTACATCAGGTGTTTAATATCGCCGGTGAGAGGAGCGCTGTAGGAAAACCTTATGGTATACTTTATCCTGCCTCCTCGCGATGACGGGCTGCTTTTGTGCTCCTTTCACAATACCGAGAGAGAGGAAAAAAAAGGGAAGCGTACGGGCAGAAGCAAAAAAAAAAAAAAAAAAAAATCTTTGGCACGTGCGACCAAGTCACTGACGCGTCCGTGGGAAAATTGAAAAATCAGCGCCGGACCGATTAGACGGGAAAAAGA